TCCACCTCCCACCTCCCAAGTTCTTATAGCAGAGTAAACTTCCAAACAGAGAAATCAAGACCATGTCACACCTCCACTTACGACCCTCCGGTGGCTTCCCACTGAAATAAAGTTCCCCTTCCCCTTTATGTCCTGCACAGTCCTGACCTCACACTACACCTGCTCACTCACCGTGCTCCACCCATGGGGCTCTGCAGACCTGCTTCTGCCTCAGGACCTTTGCACTTGCTGTTGCTTCTGCCTGGAATGCTCTCTCTTCAGTCCTCAAGTTGGCTCTTTTATTTAGGTTTCAACTCAAATGCTGCCTCTCCTTCAAGAGAGCTTCCTTGACCTGTTACCTCCTCCTGTTAAAGGAGGAGGAAGCTATCAGCTTCCTCCTGTTAAAGGAGGCCTAGACACTTTCTTTTTTTTTAATATTGTCTTTCTTTTTTTTCTCTTTTTAGAGAGAGGGGAAGGGAAGGAGAAAGAGAGGGAGAGAAACATCAATGCATGGTTGCCTCCCACATGGCCCCCAGTGGGGACCTGGCCCGCAACCCAGGCATGTGCCCTGGCTGGGAATCGAACCGCAATCCTTTGGTTCACAGCCCACGCTCAATCCACTGAGCTATACCAGGCAGGGCAGAGGCCTAGTCACTTTCTAAAATATCAACTCATTTTATTGTCTTCACTGAACCTATCCTGACTTGAACCAGTCTTATTCGTGTACATGTAGAGTGCTCTTCTCTTTCCACTAGAATGTCACTCCCTGAGAGCAGGGACATTTCATGTCTGGTTCACTGCTCTCCACTGAGTGAGTGCCTGGCTCCTTCCTGTTAGGCTCTGATGGGTGTGGGGGGGGAGGGGTGAGTGAGTGAGTGAATCTTTACCTCATTAATCCCATAGTGCTGCTGAGGCACACATTTCCTGAAACCCTTGCTGCAGTAGGATCTTTCCTCCCACTCCCAGGGCTTTCAGGCCCTAATACAAATTCTGCCTCCTCTTTTATCATGGACTGTATTTTTCTGACTATAGGATGCACTTTCTCCCCCCCGCCCAAATTTGGGAGGAAAATGCAGTGATGACCCTGCTCCACCGCTGCCCCTTCCCCTCTGCAGTGAGCCAGGTAAGCTGCATTCGAACTATAAGATGCAACCCCCTTTTCCTCCAAAATTTTTTTGGGGGGGAATACCTCTTATAGTCTGAAAAATATGGTAATTGCTCTCTAAAGCCATTTGCCAATCCTTTTCCATGGATCTGCATTATTTGAGGACATGCTGTGTGTTCTCTATGTTTATAGGCACATGTGGGCAGGGACCCCACCTGTCCCATCCTAATGTTCCTGTGGCCAGGGAGGACACCCAGTCATACATCTGCGCGTTTGAATTGGGACACCACCTGGCCCCAGGTAACACTGTGAAGCTGATCAACGGCTTTCGATGCTTGGATTCTCCCATTTATTTCCTTTCCCCATGTCCTGGGGCCCCTTTACTTCCTCTTGGTTTCCCCCCCTCTCCCTCACTTCACTTCCCCATCCCCGTTAAGGTCTATTCTTAGAACTTCAACACCAAGAACCATGAGAGTGTGGCCTCTACCAAGAGCAGCCTCGTTTTAACGGTAACCTCTGCCTCAAGCTCCCGGGAAGGTGTTCTGTCCGTGTAATTTCATGATCAATGACAGATTGCCTTCCCACGCAAGAGCTTTCCTGTGCACATTAAATCTTGCCATGTGGGCGATTCTATATACTTGTCCTGCATCTGCTGAGCTCCGTGGGGCTGTGTGACCAGGACAGAGGCCACTCTCTGACTTCCTTGGGTCTTCCCCGAGTACTCGCAAGAGTGCTGGGTGCCTGGAACAATAGTATGAACAAACTGGTATATCCTGGAGGTTCTGTCCACACAAAGAACAGAAATGGGCTTCTCATCCTCCAGGCCCTTCTGGTCTGGCTGTGGCCACCTCCCCCTCTGAGAGTGTAAGAGTGTAGGGCCAATGTGGAGGATGAGGAGGCATCAGGACATGAAGTTCCCTGTCCCCAGGTGCCCAGAAACTTGCAGATCATGAAGCTGAGAGTGGAGATGTGTGGAGTTTCCATCTTCTTTGTGGTTTGTCCTCCTACACCTAACCGTATCTAAGGCCTTATAGGTGGGGTGAGGCAGAAAACTGGAGTGAAAGGGCTTGCGTGCACTCCTAAAACAGTGGGCTCAGCCTTTTAGGTTGTCGCCCACATCTTCACCTGACATTTTATGGAGACTCCACTAGCAAATCCTCTGAATTCTTTGTCAAACACACATTTTGAATTTGTTTGCTCCTCTCTCCCCACTGCCGCTGTGTCCCTCATCCACACTGCCACCTTCCTTCGCCAGGACGACCACACTGCAGGGGCCTCCCAACTAGAATCTCTGGTTCCTCTGAACTAGCCCCCACCCAGGGTTCAGAGTGATCTTTTGAAAATGTACATCTGACTGGTCATTCCCACTACTCCAAACCCTCCAATGGCTGCTCATCGGGCTTCAAGTAAAATCCAAACTCAGTAAATCCCATCGTCTGGCCCTGGCCATCTCATGACTCTGCTCACAAGGCCCCGGCCACCCTGGCAGCAGGCTGTGGCCCAGTGCAGGGCCTGCCTTCTCCATTCCCGCTGCTGAGCTCCTCACCCACCATCGTCTCCCCCCCACCATGTGACTGCTCCTTCTCACAACCGAGGGCCCTCAGAGAGGTTTTCTCCAACCTCCCGTCTGAAGGGGAGCCCCTCTACTGTTCTCTGCCAATGGGACCCATCTGGTTTTCCTACACTTCACTCCAATTTATTATTATTTTCTACGAGCACTGGCACATTTGTTGTCTTTCTCACTAGACTCGAGTGACAGGTGGAGAGAAATTTTGTCTTTCTCACTAGGCTCAAGCATGAAACGGGGTCTTTCTTATTCACGATCACATCCCCAGCATCTAACAGGGTGACCAGCACACTGGTCACACATTTATTGTCACACATTTATCAGGTAAATAATAGAAATGGAGGTGCTTGGGTCCTCACTGTTCATGGGGGTACCTGAGGCAGGGGGTAGCACTCAGCCCGGGGCAGAGCAAGGTGAAACATCAGGGTCATTCCAGAACCTCATGAGAGAAAGTTTCCTGAGGGGTACTCAGTATTCCCGAGGGCCGAGCTAATGTGGCACAACTCTTTGTTGGCAGTGCCAGAGAATTCTAATTCCCTGCAGTGATCAAAATCTCCAGCTCTGATTGATAATGGAATATTTATACCAGGAATACTTTAGAATTGAGTGTGGCATAGGAAATGAAATTATTGAGTTCAAAGAGAAGGAAACCGATGTCCAGAGAGACTAAGTAGTTTGCCTAAAATCACCAGTTATCGCTGGTGGAGCCCAGGCTACAATCTATTGTTCACTTTCTCCTGCAGCCCATTCTCTCTCTCACCCTCTCCTAGGAGCCTAGGAGTGATTTGCCTTTGTCATAGGCTGGTTTTCCGAAGGGAGAGGGAGGCCTGTGGGACCTGCAACTTATTTTTGTATTTTCAAAATGTTGGAGACTATGTAATTCAAAATGTTTTAGGCACAACATCGTCTTGAAAGTTTGGGCACACTTAAGGGTACAGAAAAGTCCCTTAGAAAAGATCAAGGACGGTATGAGTTATCTATTACTGTGTAATAAACTGCCCCAAAACTTAGTTGCTCAAAGCCGCTGTTTACCATCTCGTGCATGATCCTGTGAGTATGCAATTTGTGCTCCATTCAGCCCAGCAGTTTTTCCGCAGCGTCCCTGCCTCTGCTGGCTGGCTCACACAACCCCAGTCAGCAGGCAGGGCTGCCCCCGGCTATTTGGTCCTGGACGTCTTCACTAACATGGTTGGAATAATGGGGGTGAGTGGGCCACCTGCCTCAAGAGAGTCCTGTCTGGAAAGAGAGACCAGTTTCCAAAAGCTCAATAGAGAGCAAAACCCAATGTGAAAGTGATTTTCAAACCTCTACTTTACTATCTCATTGGCCAAAGTAAGCCAAATCAAGTTCAGAATCAAAGAATGAAGAAATAGACTCCAATTCCTGATGGGAGGAGCTGCAAAATATTGTTACCATTTCTTTTCAATCTACCATAAGGGCTGAGTCAGCATCATATTCATATTGAGAATAATGTAACCATCCTATGATTCATCTGGTCTGTTGGAGGTGGGGGAAGGAGGCTGGGGGGAGGGGCTAGCAGTATCTCCGGGCAGTGAGGTGAGGGAAAAGCTTTAAGGGCCCTGGGGAATGGAAGTTGGAGACCCTAGACCTCTGCCACCCAGCCCAACCCTTACGGGGTTGGAAGTGGGCTGACCAGGAGTACCCAGTGGAGAGGACAGGCCTCAGGCAGCTCCAGAGCTCTGTGCCGCTTCTGTCTTTTCTCTCCTGGGATCATGAGATGCTGCTTATGTAAGTGATTTGGCCTAGAGAAAAAGAGAAAGTGCCTTCCACTCAAAACATAGGCCAGTCAGGGCTGTGGCCTGTGTTCCTAAAAATAAAGCCTGGGTAGGAAAATGAGGGCTAATGCACCTGGAGGTGAAACCATAAGTCAGGTGGGCAAAGCTTTTAAGTGTACCCTCCCCTGTGTTGGGAATAGCCTGGTGACGTCCCCCAAGCTCAAGGAGAGCTCGGCCCACAGAAGGCAGGTTGCAAAGCAAGGCAATGATGGGCTGAGCTCACTGTCGAATCCTATCTGCCAGAAACGGGCTGAAGTCCCAAATTTCCCACATCGGTAGACTGCAAGCCATCAAAAACAAAACAACAACAAAAAAAAACCCTGAATTTACTGTACAAAGCGGAGGCCTTATTATAGATTGAGTCGGCGATTCTCACACTGCAAACGAGTATTTTCGCATCCCTGGGCCCAACGTGCCCTGAGGACCTGGCCTAGGAGGGCGAGCGTCGTCGGAGCCCACCGCGAAGGCAGAGGGGCTTCCAAACGAGGTGAGGGAGGGACGCTGCTCGGAGGCTGTTTTCTTGTAGCTCCAGACAAATTAAAAACCTCCTTACCAGCCATTCATTCTGAGGAGGCCTCTTCCTTCCTCCGCAGGGGGCTGCAGTGCTGGAAGGGATCGGACTCTGGGAGGCTGGGCCTCCCATGGCTCGCAAGGAGGGGCAGCCCGCGAGAATGGCGCGAGGGAGGCCCTAACCCCGAGGGGATCGGCAAGCAGGGAGTGGGGGCAAAGTGCATCCCAGGTCACTGGGGAAAAAGAAATCTCAAAACAAGGGAGTGGGGGAAAGTTCCACTTCCAGCCTAATTATGAAAGAAGCCTGGGTGGAGAGGAGGGCAGGAGAGCCGAAAGGAGAGAGAGAAAGGACGAGAGGTGTTGCAAAGAGCAGAAAGAGTTTCTGAGGGGGCGCCGGCTATTGAAGGAGCCCAGGCCGCGGAAGGTGCGGCCTCCTCACTCAGGGGCCGGTTCATTACTGATTTTGAGGGACCTGGAAGCACATTGGCCTGGGACTGCCGAAGAGGAAGGGCAAAATATCCTATAAAGGGTGGGACGAATTGATTTCCCAAAGTACAGCGTCATTTCCTCCAAATGCCCTCGCCAGTCTCCTCCTTAATCTAGTCTGGAGGCAGCAGGTGACCCCGGCTCAGGCCCCTGGAGGCGCCTTTGTTCCGAGGCCTTCGGCAGCCCGCCCCGCCCCCACCCCTTGCACCTGGGCAGCGGCCTCCAAATGCACTTGTCCACCCTTGGCCGGCTCGCGGGGCGGGTGGGCGGATGCCTTTGTATGGGAAAAGCCTTGAGTCTTCCAATCCGTTTTCCCTTCGGCTTGACACTTTCGCTAATGGTTTCACTCGGACAGCCACGGAAACCTGCTCCCCGGAAAAAGAATAGCTTAGCCTGCAAAATCTGGTGAGACAAGTTCGTGAGCGAGACCACCACGCGGGCAGAGCCTCCCTGTTGCTAGGGAGAGGGCCCTGCCCTCCGGGAACTCGACTCTGCCCTGTGGTCCGCAGGTGTTCCCGGCTGAGTTCTAATCCTACCCCTCGGAGGTTTGCTAATTTAATTGTGTAATGGTCCACACCTGAGACATGCCCTGAACTACCTTTTAGGGCACGACCTAGCTGGAAAGAAAGAGAATTGAGTGTTAAAATAAGAGTATTAAGACAGGGAATTAGACACTGAAAGCCTTTACCATCTTTCAAACATCTGAGTCAAGCAGAAGAAAACTGGAGAGGGAGGCGACCTCCAAGTTAGAAAAAGCCAACAAGAAGTAATTAAAGTTCTTGCCAAGTGGTTCTGAAATATGTCTTTAGCCCTTCTAAATTAAATATCCCGGGTTTTTGGGGGGGGGGGTTTGGAGCAATTTCCCCAAACATTTACTATTCACTTCGGTAGGGCAGATGGCAAACCACCGTTAAGATTTATAGAAACTAAAAGACTTCCTATGCCAAAGGTTAATGAAAGTGTAATTTGAATCATGAAATCTTTCTGTGCCGGCTCAGTTTCCACCGAGGGCTCATTAAGGATGCGGTGGGGACGCGGGCGGGCGGTGACGTCACAGCGGGGACTTCAACGGGGCGGGGCCAGGCCGCCGGGGATGGAATTCTTTAAAAATATAAAAGCTTCCCTCTTCCCTTCTGTCTCTCCAGCTGTAACAACTTCACCGACTGTCTTGGTTCCACCCTGAGGATTTCACTGCGAGAACACGTTAGAGGGAATCAGGAAGCCGAGAAAAGGTCACAAAATAAGCACCTCAGGAACAATGAAAGCTTTTCTCTATGCAGCAGTGGGGGAGTTGCTAGAAAAACTGGAAAGGTATTAATCAGAAGTGGCTATAAATCCTCTGGAGTTTTGCTCTTATAAAACTCCTCAGAGAAAGTCTTGAAGGAAATGCAGGTCAAAGCCCAAAAAAGCTCTTGATCAGAGATTGCCGGAGGAAAATCTTCCCAGACGCCGTTTAATAGGCAGCAATCACCCCAGGAGTGGGGAAGCCAAGTACGCTTGAAACATGGTTGCAATTCCTAATAGGTCTTGTCACACTTAAGGCACTGCAAGCTCCATCCAACGAACAGCTGAAGCTAGCTGGCGATTCATAAAGCCAACAGTTTAAAGTTTATTATGATGAAAGCACTTAATGACAGCCATCGCTAGGGGCCCATCATTTATAAAGCTGTGCTGAGTATTAGACATGTAGCATGACCACCAATTTTATGTCACAATTGCTACCATAAAATGACCTTTGGTGATTTTTGCTGCATGTGGTGGACAGCTCTTCCTTCACATTAGTGCTCTGTGGCTTTCTTTGCAGACTATTATGCTGTCTAAAGCTTATTTGGCACTGCCGTGAGCCTCAACCCTTGTTATTACCCCGAAGGCCTGTCTTAAAAAAAAAAATCTCATGCTCTATTACGCCACTCCAATAATTTACAGTTCTTACCAGCCTTGGTTAGTGTAATATTTTAATGCAAATATGCTTTACCACTGCATTTTATTTAGAAGGAAAAAAGTTCCCATGCTTCTGGCTGGTGCAATATCCATTTGATGGGAGTTCACTGAAATCAGCTTCTTATTCCCTGGTCAGGTCTCATTGAATGGGCACTCGTTTCCCTGATCGGTTAAAACACTTCCAGAAAAAAAAAAGGTTAATTAAACTTCTCTTGAGAAAGAGAGATTTTTTTTTAAAGATCCTATATGTGATAATCCCACCTAAGGCAGAACCGCCAATTCTTATTTCCCTACATCCAGTCCCCAGTGCAAATTTGCATCTGAGTAACATTATTTAATTAGGATTCCATTTGCCAACCTGCTTTGTGTAGTTAGAAAGTGTTTGAATACACGGCCCCTGGACGGCTCCAATGCAAACCACTGCTGAGAAAGCGGTCTGTCCATGCTACACCACCTTTAAATTGTGTATATAATTTTATAAATGATATGAAATCTGCTTCTGGTCCCTGAAAAAAAAAAGAAAAGAAACACAAGCATGGCACACTGCAATTTCGGAAGGATTTAAAATATGTGATTTCTGTTGGTACCTACTGTATTGGTTTTTATATAAAGCTTTTTTCAATAAGGTAAATTGTTACATGACAAACTCATCTTCCACCATTATCATCTGCTGTTTGTGTTTAACAACAGGAGTCCCGCTCTAACAAAACTGTTGTAATGGCTGTACAAATTACTCAGCTGAAAGCTTTTCACCAAACAAAACAGTATTAATCAGCAGTTCTTATGAAGGTGCTAATTAAAAACAATTTTCTTCCTCAGTTTGCAATACTAAAGCCATCTTCACTTGCACAGTTTCCAATATGCAGCTACTGTATTTGCTCACACTTCAGGCCCTCTATTAACTACTGAATCTCCTATTAGTCATTTTATTACGTTTCTGTTCACAAGCTTGTTGACATTTTAGAAGTCACAGTATGATCTGTTTTATCTATTAAAAAATGTATTAATTGAAAAGTCAGGGCACAGAAAAGGAGAAGTGTAGACTCCAAGTGCACAGACTTCTGGGGCAGGGACCACGTGAACACTCTGCCATGGCCCGGGCAGTGAGCTCTCTGGGTGAGACGAAATCTGAGAATTAAAACTGGCATTTCAGGCTTAATGGTTTCTTAAACACCAACAGGCTCCTTCTTAATTTGGAAACAGTCCTCTCGGGAAAACATGTGCCCTATGTCGAAATTGAGTTTTGAAGGAGACCTAGTCTGACTTTCAAATCGATCTTTTCTCTGTGTGGTATGATCAGAAGTATGACATTTCATACAGTCTCAACTCAGATTTTGGTCCGGGTTGGAGTCTAGGAACCGGAGCCCCAATCTGGGATCTAAACAGCTTAATCTTTTCTGTAAGTGTATCTGTGTGCATGTGTATCTACATACATTTCGATTCCGAGTGGCTATCCTGTCCTGCTCCCCACCCCCCAGCACCCTGCTGGACAGTGCCACAAAATTGATTGGCATCGACTGCAAACAACTCAAATGCTGACTAAGGGCAAAGACAAACTCCATGGAAGCTGGCTTGAGGGAAGGGAACAGTCTATATTAAAAACAAAAAACAAAAGTCTAACCCTTAGGAGAAGGTATGCCCCACTTTGGTAGTGGACAGAAGGAAAAAAAAACACCACTACCCTGTTGGGAACCTTACACCTGGCTTCTAGCTAAAAACATTGCATTGATTACAGGAACCTGTGCTCTCCACAAGCCAATCGGCTACAGGTACATGAGGTGTGCATGCGCTCCACAAGCCAATCAGCTACAGGCACATGAGGTGTCCACGAGTACCAGTTGCACCCAAGTAATCAATAAGCGGGCCCTTCTTTGTCTCAAGCTAGCCAATAGCAAGCAACCTAATCTCCTTCCTCTCCCTCCCCCCTATATATATACCCAGTTCGGAAAAATAAAGTTTGCAGCTTGATCAGAATCTTTTGTCTTGCTGCCATTCTTTGCGCCTCTTGTCCCCCCAACCCATTTGTTCTAGGTAGGTGGTCGAGCCCCAGTTGATTGCTCCGCGGAGCCGGAGCACTACCCCAACCTTGTCCTGCCTAGGGTATTAAAACCAGGTTCTTCAACTGTCAAAAGCAGTTAACTAGTTTAGGACAGACACCTGGCTGTTGCAATAGGGCTCCAGAGGGCCACTAATCCTTCCACTCACTCAGCTAACTGCTGGCTCCCCCAAATTGATTCAACAGGTATGCAGTGGTCAATTCAGCCCCTACTGAAGCTGAAGGGAAAATCAGCAAGGGGCAGGCAGCTCGTCTCTGAAAACACCCGAGGAACCAGCCAGAAAAGCTTTTATGGCCCAGACAAGTTTTCTGCTGAATACTGAGCACCTAAATTACCCTTCCCTAATGGAAGTTACATTTTCATGCTCAGTCAAAAAGCCAACAAAATACACAATTTATACAAAATGGCATCAGCCTCTTAGGTAGTCTTTTCTAGCACTTTTATCCCAATTCACAGCATATGTCTTGCTATAAAATAAAATACATTTCTTATAACCAACTTGTATGTGGCTGTTCATATCACTGCACTGGAACTGACCATGGGTGATGTTAGAAATGTTCTTATATCCACCAAATCTACTTAGTGTGACAAAGGCAAATCATGATGACACAGGTACAGTGGGAAGAGGAGTATCATAATAATTCTTATGATTTCCTAAGCAGACAGGCTTCCTTTTAAAACAAACACATGCATAATTAATTACATAATAGACAAATATGGAATGGGACATTTCAGTTGCAATTATACAACCCAAGACCGATGCATAGAAAGAATTCTTAATTATAAAGTTCAAAAGAAATGGAAATGGATAAACTTTTCTGAGGCAGCTGTATTTCCCCCTTCTCAATACTGGGATTTCATTAAAATGTGAGAAAATAAAAAAACACTCTTAAGTTATTCAATAATGTACATTAGTTCCTCACAAACTTCCAAAGAGCCTGGCTAGAGGCATTTCTAGATGAGGATCCTAGAAGGAGATCTATGAAACCCTGAACATTTTACAAGAGATTCTCTAGGTTTTAATCACACAATAAGTGCATTGTTTACTAGATATTTCTTGGTAAGAACAGCTCCATTCCTACACCCCGTCTCAAGCTTATGTAACTGTACACACCATTCTTAGATAGTAAAAAAAAAAATACATTACTGGTTTACTTTTTAAAATACAGTTTCTCTCAGAGAAATAAACACTGGACGCACAAATGCAAATTGAATTCTTGCCAATTCATGTATTTTCATGAGGAAAAATGGAAATATTCTCATGATTCTGCTGTTCTGTATTTTAAAAGGAAAAAAGAAGAATAGACCATCTTAGGTGCTGCTGCAGAGATGGGTTCCCTTTGTCTGGCAGATTTAGTTGTAGGTTTTACAGGAGAAATCATTTCTGCTGTATTTTTACAAGTACAAATGGAACTACCTGTGTTGCCTTTTAAAACATTCCAAATCCTAATTTTTAAACAAGAAAATATGAAGCCAGTGTGCAACCCATACAGTCGCCAAAGGAGAGCTGCCACTAGCTGAACTACTCAGCTAAATGGCTGGTTTGCATTGCCCTGGTCTTTATCTAGCACTGAGAATAGACTGCTGTTTTATCCAAAGAGGAATAAATTGCTGTTATTGTGATGTTAGCCCATCACTTGGCATTGCAATTCAAGTTTTTGTGAGAAAGAAATGTATGATCTAACTGCGACTTGACCTGTGCCTTTCGAGATCCATCTAGGTGCTCTAATGGAGCAGAAAAAGTGGTGAATACAAGGACATGCAAACTGATGGCGAAAAATTTGTTTGATGATAGAAGGGAGCAGAGAAGACATTTGAGAGTCAGCTGTTTTTATGACAGCTAAGTTTGTTTAACATGCAAAAGATCCCCCCCACAGTCTCCCTTTAATTGTATCACACTAAATACATGCTTATAAAGATAGGAGGATGTACAGCCAACCTACTAACGACATGACTACAAAAGTGGGCACAGATGATTCCTTACAGATAAACATCTGCATTTCCACAAAAGGCATTAGAGCATCTCGTGGATGCACCAGGCAGGAATGTGCTTGGGTTCCCTGCAGAAAACTCATTCCCTCTTAATCCTAGGTCGTACCTATTAAATGTTTACTATAAACTGGAATCACAACCTATAACAATGTATACTTATTTTCAATAAGATAATTGTGTGATTGAGTTTTTAAAAACTCCCCCTGGTTGCAGTCAAGTTTCTCAACCATTTATTCAGAATTTCTCTGCAAAGGACCTATTTTGAAAGAGGCCTGGAGACCAGCAGCAGTTAGATTGGAGCCCTGATAAAGGCTCACTTTTCATTCATAGTCAGAGCCTAAATGTGCTCTTCTTGTACCTAAACAGATAATAAGCACTCAGCACACTCCTCCTCCTTGACACAACACATTGAGACTAATCACACATAATTGGAGAGGAGGAGCAGAGGGCTGGCCACGCTATTGTGTCCAGAGGACAAACGGTCAGTTTATGAGGCTTTGGGCTGATGTAGTCATTTCTTATACATCTACAGGGAAAACTCCATCCTGTTTAAAAGGAAAAAGAAGAATGAGTGAAGGATGTACAGAAAGAGATGGCAGCTTTCACACTATTAATTTAAGGGAGATCAGAATGATATATGCTTTATTTTTATTAACCAGGATAGAATTGTCATTTTGCTGTTTTACAGATTAAAAACTACTGCCACCAAAATGGAACAAAGACCAAGATATTTTTGTGGCAATCACAAAAAGAAATTTTGCCTCAACCAGAGGTAAACATCTTTAGGGTGCTCACAAGTCCAATTCAAATCTCAGACAGGCTGTTTACAGATATTTAAAGACAGACAAAGGTTTGGTGCAGGAAGAGCAACAAGCGGACTGAAAAAAAAAGAGGGGTTGGGGACGGCTGGGAAGTAGTGAGGGTGAGGACTGGCGGGCTCCATAACCCATACGTGGAATGTCGAGAAGGTGGTGAGGGCCCAAGTCCCAGGGGCCGGAGAGTCTCGGGGAGCCCATGGCATGCTGCATGTTGTACCATTACAGGTTTCTGTTTCTGTAAAATATCCCCTTTGCACATGATGTTTTCTTCATCTTTTGAGCAGCTAAATCTTCTATCCACTTTTGGTTAAAATAAGAAGAAGCGGGTAATGAAGGTTTTCATCATATATATCCTGGTTTTCCTTTTGTAGCTGTAAACAGTAATAGAAAAAAAAGGTAAAGAGACTCGATTAGGAATTTTTATCAGATTTCAATGTCGAGTATAATAAAGACATCTTACCTAAATATATTGTTCTGGGGAAAAATTTTTAAAAAGCAACTCAAAGCAGTACTCAGTGGCATAGCCATGTCAATACTATGCATCAAGATGTGAAATTTGGGGTTTTTTTTGGTGTGGGCAGGGTGTTTTTTCATAAACAACTGCATTGCATTTGTGATTCCAGGACCTATAAGGCACCTCAGTGAAGGGAGACCTGGCAGCTGCTTCAGCTGCACCAGGCCAGCCTACTGGCACAGAAGCTTCTGCTCTTGGTCCTCCTCTCTGTCCCCTGCCAGCGCCCCAGGAATCGGGCAGGCACTCCTCTCGGATCACTGGCTGGAGACTGTGGCAACACCGGGGCACTCGGGAAAGGCGTGTGGAGCCTGAGACATTTCAAAGACTCTCCAGTGACTTCTCAGGGGTTTACGCATTAATGATAAGTAATTCAAAAATTCTCTTCTCCAGAAAAACTCATCCCAACAATTAGAGCAGCAAGCTTTGGTCCTATTCAGGTGAAGTTCTGAGGGCCTTTCCAAGACAGATTTTAAAATCTGATCGGCATTCTCAAATCTGAAGTACACGTTTCCTCGCTGGCTAGAATAACTGTGATAGTCATATTTACGTGCTATT